CTGCCCTCTCATAATTACTCGTTTTTAGCTAAAACACACTGAAAATGTGTTACCAGTGGATTTTTTTTACCAACTTCCAAGTGGATGCTGTTAATGTCATATTTTAAGACTGCACATGGAGCCAATGAAAACCAAATGCCACAGCAGGTTCCAGTCAGAGTGATTATATGTGGTACGATGACTTAAAAACGAGAGCTGTGGTCGTTTGCATTTGTTCAAGTTAATTAAAACGGCACAGCAGATGAAGAAGAAGATGAAAACATTACAGCGCATTAGCCCTTTTTCAATCATCGGAGTTAACATGCTGTAGAAGGAGAAGACTATTCTGCAAACATGCATTGCTTGTGAGAAAAAGAAGTCTTGTCATGCAGCTGCTCACTCGCTGTCAGTCACAATAACAAAATCTGGGACTTTATGTGCACAAACGGATCCATTTTCATGTCATCTGAGTGTAAATTCAGCTTAAGAACACTTGATTTGAAGCGAAACGTGATTTAAATTCACAACCACTAAGAAATCAGTCATCGTGAATGTCTTTTCTCTGCTGACTCGAACTGAAACATGTGACGAGTTGGTGTGAGAGGAACCACCCGACTGGACTCCAGGGATCCTGCTACCAAACCATCAGAAGCACCACTTTCATCACATCCCTCACTGCAGCAAATTACCATATCAGCAGCACCATCTCAAAGCAGCCTCCAAAATCTCAATCTGTGCTTTTCTGGCACACAATTAAAAGATGTCAAACTTGGTTTCTTTTACACTGTTTTGGTTCTGGCTGTCAGCACTTCAAGGATTATCTTAAAGAGGAGTCATTTAGCAGAGAAAGGGAACCGACCAGTTTCACTGACGGTGATGGGCAGGCTCGGTAGCCCAGGGCTAACTGGGGAGGACAAAAGAAATGGATACATGATAAGAGAAGCAGTGATGGTGTTGGGAGGAGGTAGAGGAAAGAGGGGGACTCCAAACTTTCCCCTCTCTCCTGGGAACCTGAGGGCTAAGACGCAGCAGCTCCTCCACACAGGTATCATGTTCAGCAGGTCCTTCAGTACAGCCGGGCTCTGGTCCAAGCCCCTCTGACTGTCTGCCTCAGCGGAGAGATGTGGAGGCGCCACCAAGTCACCGCAGCTCAAACGCCAACAGGTGAAACCAAATAGTCACGTCAAGCTTGATACTGTTTTTCCACAGAAGAGGCGATAAGCCTTCCTGCCTGCTTTGACACGAGCAACGAGTTGAAGGATGAAGCATGAAGGATGGGTTATTTTTTTTCTGTTTGCTTAAAGACGCAACTTCCAGATGTTTCAGATGTGTATTTTCGGATCTCACACTTCTTCTTTTATCCTCTTGTCCACTTTGACAAAAGCAGCCAAGGCAGATATGTGATATGAGACATAAGACAGAGATATGATTGGTCACGCTGAGGTTCACATGCAGGCTGAACATGAAAATAGTCTTTTACCCCTATATTTTTTGCATTAGCCGCTGAAAAAAAAGGTAGACAGGTGAATGTTTGGGTCAGAAAAGGCCGCACAGATCTACATCACACTGTGGCCCACCTGATTTATGCTTCTCTGTCTGCGTCAGTGCGGAGACACGCAACATCATTATCTGTCCTTGCGTAGGGCTCCGGCAGGCACGCAAGTACGTACGGAGCCCACTTTTTTAAACATCCGTCGAATGAGACGGATTACGCAAGCTTGTGATTGGTCAGGATGCCGCTGTTATTTACAGCGCCGCCATTGCAAAGAGAGCCGAGGATAACTAGCGGCAGACACGGAGAAGCTTGAAGAATACCTCGCGAAAAAACTCTAAAAATATGAACGTTTAATTCTCCCGTGACTGGAGGAGTGAAAAGATGCGCAGCAAGCGTTTTATTCGTGGACGGAAATGACAGGAAACATGGGTTTAGAGGTGGGGAGCGCATGAAGCGGTGGGAGAATGAGAGACAAATATGTCCGTGTTAAAAGTCTCTTATATACACAAAAGAAAACCACTATATAAACAAACCATCTTGGACCGATACATGACAGGATACCACAGAACAGCGCTACGCCCTCTGTGGTCCTGTCGGGGAATTGCTTTGCAACACTCTCCAGGAGACGGAGAAGTAAAAGAGCAAAACGCTTCCGTCAATCCGTGCGATTCTGTCCCTTGCAGAGCTGACAGAGAAGCATAAACCACGGAAGGTGGGGTTAATTTAACGCCGAGGAAAGAGCAGAGGACATCTCGGCTAGCAGAAGCTAACCATGAACATGAGCAACTCCACAACACTGAAGGAACACATTCAAGCTGGCATTGGTGGAGATAACACATAAATGTCACCTTTTTAACCAAAGAAAGAACAGTGAACGGAGGTAGTGGAAGAATCGCGTTGCTGTTAGCCATCCAGAGGCAAGGTGTTTTGCACATCCTGAATATTAAGGAGTTAGACTTGTTATTCTCTCTAACTTCTACTTCCTAAAAAAAGGAGTGCGAGAACTTTTTCTACACAGAAAAACAACTAATACAGCATACTAGAGGCTACAGTGGATTGACTGAAATAATGAGGGTATGCCCTCTTTAAGAAAATATCAGTGTTATGGGATGTGAATAAAATATCAATACACTAAAATGTTTGAATTAGGCTAGAAAAGTGTTTATTTCTGCTGTGAAGTTGGCATTTTTGACATGGGAGGTAATGGGAACTTGCTCCTTTCTGAATCCAGCACCCAGTGGATGAAGGGGGAACCGCAGTATGTATTGGGCGTCAAATCCGGTCGGGTCATACCAAAGACTTTAAAAATGGGACCCAATGCCTCCCTGCTCGACACTCAGCTTCAAGGGGTTGGATTTGGGGGTTAAACCACCAAATAGTTCCAGAGCGCAGCCACTGCTGCAGCTCACTGCTCCCCACGGGGATGGGACAAATGCGGAGGTGAATTTCACCAGTGTGGAACTTTAATTTTATCTTTTGGTAGGTGGAGTTTACCCATTTGTCGCAATTTAAACTGCAGCTGCTAAGTGGCAGCAGTTTTCACTGCCTTCATTTCACAATAACACTAGTCGTGTCTTGGAAGCGTCTCGCCTCAGTTTTCCAGATTAAATTTAATATCATCTGGTTTTAAGTATCATAATTTATTGCATTGTCTCCCTCGTATTGTGATATATGTCATACCACCACATTCTTGCCGATACACACCGCAAATGTACACACGTACACATCAAAACATAAAACATCGCCAATATTTCAGTGCATCATTATTTTCTTACATCTCTAATATTCAGAAATACTCATGTTCAAGACCTCAGTAATATAGAGATTCTGGCTCCGCTGAAGCAAAATATGAAGAAATTCGACAATTAAACCTTTTAAGCAGAACAATCTAAAAGTAACTCAAACCTCTCAAAATGTGTGAAGGATGCTTAAAAAAATGTGATGTTCCACAAAAATGTTTCATCTGTTTTTAAAGAAATCAGATGTGTTAAAATCTAAATAATTGATAAAAATATTTGAGGTAAACTATTTGAAGTTTGATTATTTTATTTATATCTCAAATGAAAACATTTATAAAATAAAGTTTTTGAGAAACATTCATGTGTGATTATAATCATCAGCAGCTTGGACTTGTCTGAAGACAAAAATAAACACAATTATCCAAAATAAATCACTCAGAAATTTTTGTTAATTAAAATTTTTTAATGATTTAAGTCGAATTTACGTTGTGTGAAACTCTTAAAATGAACCGAGAGGGAAGAACGATGCAAATAACCTCTAGTCTCGAGGGTTAAAGTGACAGATCATTTATCAAATGTATGCACCACATATGTGGAAACATGAGCCGCTGCAGAGACAAACTAGACCACATCTTAACTTTTGCACCCATCAAACCACAACGGTGAATCCCATTAGCAGGTCAGTCGACTTGTGCAGCACAAAAAAGCGTGCACTCAGCACAGAAAAAGCAGATAAAACTACAGCGAGATGAGACCCCTCGTGGCTGTGAGTGGGTTCAATCAGTGAATTAGAGATGTGAAGGGTTCCAAGGTTTTGTCTTGTTTCTAGTGGATAAAAAAATGAAAATTGACCTGCAGCCTTCATTTAGTGACAATGTGTTAAAGTATAAAGTATGATGGATATTCATCACGGTGATCTGCACAAGCAGGGGCAACACGGCTGCACAAAGGGGTTTCAATTGAAAACTATAAAGCTCATTAGGCTCAACACTCAACATCAGCACCAATCAGAAGCTGCATTAGCTGTAAGAGGGTTTCTGAACAAATTACAGCTCTAAAACGATAAATCCCAGCAAATACTGAGAAGTGAATTAATCAGGCCATTGAGATCCATCATAAGATCTATTCAAAAGAAGAAAACATGTCAAAATGATATCTGTACTTTCTAGACTACGTCTTGTATTTAAGTTAATGCCCTGATGAGATGGGTTTCCTTTGTAATTTCACACCATTATTCATCTCGAGTACAATGATGGAGGACGAGAGGAAACTCACTGAAGACAATACATCCAACAGTTGTATCGCAAAGCAGAAGATTAGATGACTAAAGGAAATATTGGAGGATTTTTTTGGGTCGTTACTTCTTTGCTGCAAGTCTCTGTAGCACAAATATTAATGTGGAAACAAACTGCTTTAACCACCAACTTTAAGAGAAGATCTGAGATTGCTAGCTAGGATGCAACTCTCTGGAGTTTGCAGAGTTCTGAAAATTGTAAAAAAAAATAAGAATAAAAAAGTTGTGAACAAGACAGTCGTAAGAGGTTGTCTGACTTTATCTCCTATTTCAGACTCATAAATCTGTCAGAATCCTCAGAAGAGCTTAAACCAGAGGCTGCAGCACAAATATAAGAGCAATCGGGCAATAATGTGAACATGTAGCATATAAAAACGTATTCTGTCTATATAATAGATAATCAAGTTAAACCAGTAAATCAATTATAATTCTTTTTCTTTGGATTTCACATTTTGCGTATCTAAATTAAAAGGTAAAGGCACAGAAACTTACGTTGCTTGATTTTATTTTATTCTTAGGAATTAACATATTTGAACAACATACAAAACCACTTTTCGTTATGAGGTGTTAACACTGGAACCTTTTGACAGGAGAATAAAAATATCTATGATGGAAGAAAAGAAACATGTTTTTCTGTAATTTCCAGTGAAATATCACACCATTTTATCTCACACACTGAAACAATCAGGAAGTCATGCCCTCCGGTAGAACTCTCCACCTGTTTTATCGTATCCGCGTGAAAAAGCCGAGCTTTTTTCTGCTGCGGTCAGATTCTGTAACACTTTTTAAACCAAACTGTGTCTTCTCTGCTGCAGCAAAAGTCTGTGGTGCTGTGGACCTTTGTACAGATCGAACTTCAGTCCAGATATCTCACGGTCCAATCAGGCGTGCGACGCTAGCCTCTCGATGATTCTCCTGTAGTCTTCCACAGCATGCTGGTAGCTCTTCTCCAGTTCCTCCTGCTGCGTCTGAGTGTCCATCTGTCCCATGTGAGACACCAGCTCCTCCGGCCGAAGGCACTTCTTCATCTTCGCCAGCTCCCTCTGGTTTTTCTGTACAATGTAAACAGAAAAAATATATAAATACGGTGTTCAACCAGTCTGACCAGATAATTTAAAAGTCAGGAGATGATCCATCAGAGATGAAAACCGGTCAGGGTGAAAAAGGTGACAAGGATACTAAAAGTGGGCGATATGTATGATATTCCTCACTCCAACAAATGCAATATATTCGCACAGTTGCCGGTTTGTGGGCCTGACACGCAGCGTTCCACCGATCACAAATGTTCTTTCTCAGTTTGTAGGAGCAGACCATGAGGGTTCCTCATGTAAGATTTTGTTGTCTTCTGAATTTTACTCACTATTTGATGCGTTATTCCTCAATATACTGCATCGCAATTGGTTCAAGCAACACGTGATGGAATATGGGGCGATGTTTCCGACCTTTCGACCAATAGCTGATGATTTTGCCTCAGCAGAGGGGGAAACAGATCAGGCAAGATGTCAATCAAAAGTTTAAAGCTAATAAGTCAATGCGAACAGAGGTGATGGTAAGAAAGATGCATCTGGTATAACGATGGATTGTGGACGTAAGACTTGTAACAAACTAGTGTTGGGAGTAGGGCTGGACGATATAGGAAAAAAAGCTAATCGATAAAAAAAATCTTATTGACTGATATCAATAATTATTGAGAACTACATAAAAATTGTCGAAAATATATTTTAAGTGCAGCCCTGGCCATCTTAGACCATTACTTTGTGATAAAACAAGTTGGTTGCATTAGTAGACTTGTTTTTTATCGATTCTTTGTTGCTAACCACCATTGTTTGTTGTGCTGCCTAACTGCCTGGATGGTCTCCTTCTCTACCTTGAGCATGGAGAACCGGGTGGAACAAATCTTCAAGGTAATTTGGGTGAGCCAGGTACCTATAAAGGGACGGACCTGCCCCTTTGTCTTGGTTTGGAACACAGTGCAAGCTGAGACAACAGGAAATGTCAAAGCTCCAAAGTGATTGCACAAAATCAAGCCCTACAAGCCTGTGAAAGACAGCCAGTAAGCCACATTGCCTTGCTCATTTGTTAAACAACGCAGTGGAAGATGGACTGGAAAACAGACTCTTTGCTCCTGTTGATTTGTTCGGTGTAATTTGTAATGTGACAATTTGTTTATCAAAGGAGGCAGAAATAAAACATGAAAGTTTAAACTGGGTACTAAATTATATATATATATATATATATTAGACCTGTTAATTGAGTTAAATGAAACCAGTTGAAAATAAATTTGTTTAGGCTAAAATACTTGGTTAAAAGCTTAGAAAATACACCGGTTGATTTATGTTGATAAAAAAATGTGCATGGTTAAACATTTAGTTGTGTTAAAACTTATGTGATGGTGAAATCAGTCTTTTTGTATTTAAAATCTTGTCGTTTTCGAGCATAAATTTATATAAAACTTGTTTGCCCAAATACTGTTTAATTTAGCTAAAAATATTCAGACTTTGATTAGTTGATTTAAAATGCTAATAAGTTAGTTGGAAAATATGTACATAAAAATGTAAAAACCTTTTGATTAATGGTGGCAGAGAATTTATAATTGAATGAATATTTTTGTATATTTTATTTGCCTGTCAATTTAAATTCAAACGTTTAACCATGCATGTTGTCAGACTTGCAACAATGAAAAAAAAATCGCCACACTGGTGAAGTGTTGTAACCTTTTGTCAGGACTATTTCTTCCATGTCTACTTGTTGCAACATCTTGTTCAAGTCACATTGCTGTCTGTTTAGGTTTGAGAGGGGAGGGCTTGGTGACAGAGTGTGCTTGGGTCTGTGTTTTTGATTGGTTGGGTGTAAGTAATGACTCTATTATGAAGCTACCCAATTGCCTATAATGGAAAAAGGAAACTTTTATTAAAGTATTTATTGATCTATTTTTTTCTGGTCTTAAGTGGGAAAAGGGTAGAATGCCTTATCCAGGTCAGGGAGAAGGTCCTGCCTCAGGTGGAGGAGTTTAAGTATCTCAAGGTCTTGTTCACGAGTGAGTGAGGCTTAGGCTGCTGCCCCCGTGACCCAACTCTGGCTAAGCGGCTGAAAATGGATGGATGAATGGCATTTTTTTCCCTATTGAACCACATGTCTATTGATCGATATATGTCGTTATTGAATAATTGTCCAGTCCTAGTTGGGAGTACTTTTACTGGACCCTTGTGGATGTAAAATGACAGTTTTCGTTAAAGATCGCTCTGTTCTGGTATGATAGGAGGTAGGGCTGGGCAATAAATAGAAAATGTATTGTTATCGAAATTTTATGACTAATCGATATGGTGTTCCCCATGTCAATACATTTGATAATAAAGAGATGTATGTAGATTGGCAACATTCATGTCCCTTTGAGAAGCTGTACCACCTCGAGTCACATGACAATACACGTGGCAGCCTCATCTAGTGGAAAATTTTTATTTCTGCACACACAGGTAGTTATCATCTATTTATTGTTATCGAGGTAAAATCCTCAATATATCGTGATATCGATTTAAGGCCATATCGCCCAGCCCTAGTGGGAGGCTTTGAACTGTGAGTTGGATATTCTATATTTATGAATTTGACAAAAACCTTTATTGTGTTTACAGTTCCCCCTACTTCACAATGGAAGCATCTGCTGCGCAGAACGACAGTGGAATGGCGCTGCTTCAAATAGAATCCACTATAATCTATTGGTGGTGGTGGGGGGTTCCAAACCAACCGCAACGCGGAAATTTTCAGGTTTGTCCGAGAAACAGCACGCCACGCCGATAAAGATATGATCAGGTTCTATTTTTACTGCGAGTCGCTTCTGTGACACGTCAATTCCCAAAGTTAACATTAGGCTAGACAGAAAATCATGCGGGTCCATCCATCCATCCATCCATTTTCATCCACCTATCTGGAGTCGGGTTGCGGGGGCAGTAGCCTAAGGCGAGAGGCCCAGACTTCCCTCTCACCAGCCACTTGGGCCAGCTTCTCCGGGGGAATCCCAAGGCGCTCCCTGGCCAGGTGAGAGACAAAGTCCCTCCACCGTGTCCTGGGTCTACCTTTAGGTCTCCTCCCGGTTGGACGTGCCCGGAAAACCTCACCAGGGAGGCGTCCAGGAGGCATCCTGACTAGATGCCCGAGCCACCTCAGCTGGTTCCCCTCGATGTGGAGAAGCAGCAAATCTACTCGGAGCCCCTCCCGGATGACCAAGCTTCTCACCCTATCTCTAAGGGAGAGCCCAGCCACTCTGCGGAGAAAACTCATTTCGGCTGTTTGTATCCGCGATCTCGTTCATTCGGTCACTACCCAAAGCTCATGACCATAGGTGAGGGTAGGAACGTAGATCGACCGGTAAATCGAGAACTTCGCCTTCAGACTCAGCTCTCTCTTCGCCACGACAGACCGGTACAACACCCGCATCACTGCAGATGCAGCACCGATCTGCCTATCGATCTCATGCTCCAGTTTTCCCTCACTCATGAACAAGACCCCGAGATACTTAAACTCCTCCACTTGGGGCAGGACCTCATCCCTGACCCAGAGAAGGCATTCTACCCTTTTCTGAATCAAGACCGTGGTCTCTGATTTAGAGGAGCTGATTCTCATCCCAGCTGCTTCACACTCGGCTGCGAACCGCTCCAGCGAAAGCTGAAGATCACGTTCTGATGAAGCCAACAGGACCACATCATCTGCAAACAGCAGAGACCTGATCATGCGGGTTCAATGTAAAATGTCTGGTAGTTTTCAAAATTAAAGTCTATTGCAGTGATGCAATTTCATATCTATGTAGATTACGTAAATACGTGTGACCTAACGTCTTATTTACTCCCTGCATCGTTCGAGCTGTGCAACAGTGTGTTTTTCATGGGTTTAATCCTGGCAGTGGAGAGAAACAACACCATATATGGCACCAAAAAGCAACATCAAACGTGATTTCCTTCTTTTTGGTTTAATGGCAGATGGCATTAACATGCCGTGTCCTTTGAAGTCTCATGGGCTATTGTGATATCTTGAGTCCAGTGAGGAGCACGACAGAAGCCGCAGCTGAGGTTCTCCAAGTGTGTACTGGCACGCAACTAAACTCACGAGTAAACCGTTTCGCAACACTGATGCATTCAGAGTGAAGTAGGGGTTATAGTTGTATGTCTGATTGGCATATAGAATGGGAAGAATCACATCTTTCCAGATATGTATAGGTACAAAGAAACAAGTGTATGTTGAATTGACCTGGAAGCATGTAATATCCCATCTGAGAGACCTATTAAAACACATTTAAAAATGATCACTACCCAACCTTAAGAGGATAGATTCTCCCCCGGAGGAATGTTCTAGAGAAATTATTTTAAAAGCATCAATCTGGTGCATTTTAAGTAAGGGAATTTAAATATAACCGATAAGAAAACATTTTTATGTTAAAGCTGTCTCACAATTTGAGCTTGAAGACCAACAGTAAGAGCCAGCGAACTGCTAAAAATCTTTCCCAAGACACGATTTTAGAGAATCTTTGATACTAACGCAACATTCCAGATGACAGAATGTGTCTTAACTGTTAGTAGCCTGTTGATAATTTAACATCCCTTTTGGCTCACGCCCTCCTTGAATTGTTTTTGGGGCGTACGCAGCCTTGGGTTAGCTTTTTGCCAGAAGGCTACAAATATTTATCAGAGCAGAGATGTAAGAAAACATCGATACCCTGAAACATCACGATATTTTATGACATAGAAACGATATTAAAAGCAGCGTATTGATTTTTTTTTTTGAGATGCTATTTGCAAACATTTCTTGTATTTATTTTGTGGTGCATTTCAAACTCCAACTGCTAGGTAGTAACAGCTTTTCCCGCCTTCAGTCTGACGGAACAATGAGATCTCGCGATAACACTGGATGTGTCTTGGAAGTGTCTGGCTTGACTTTTTCAATTTACTTCCGTCTTTAAAATTGCTTCTAGTATCACAATATATGCATCGTCTCCTCTGTATTGTGATATATAATGTATAGCCAGATTCTTGCCTCAGAAGATCAATAATCCTCATTTTGTACCAAAATTGTGGCAGATTTAATGATCATTTAAGATACAAAGTCCATTCACACAACTGTTATTTATTTTCTGTTGGTATTCAGAATAACAGACGGTTTTTTACTTGGATCTACAAGATTCATGTAGGTCATCTGAGTCAAAACGATGAATTTTGCCAAAAGGAGAGGGATTTTTAAGTCTGTACAAGTAGAGAAAGAATAAAAAATTCCCACACTTGCATAAGCCTGAAGAAAAATCCTGGTTGTGTGCAGATATAACCACAAGGGAACTGGCCCAACATTCAGAGCTGCATCCCCTGTCACTCATGCAAATGCATGCTAAAATCGGAGGATTTAAAAAAAATTCCCTCCACATTTGACCACTCTCCCAAAGAATTCCTCCTTCCCACTTCACCGCACAAGTTTTTTCCATGTCAGCGTGTGCCTTCTCCTGTGACGTGTGGTTTCCCCACTGACAGCAAACACTCTAATGGATGGCGCGCAAAGTTTCACCGAGCAGCTCAATCAGAAAATGTCACCAGGAAACAGGAAGTTGGGAGTTATTCCAGTGCACGCGGTGTTTCCCATGATTTAAACCCAGAGTATCTTGTTTCAGTTTATTTTTAACAACAAGCTGTGAAAACTAACCCAAAGCAGAAACGTACAAAAATAAAATAAAAAACTAAACAAAAACATGACATGAAAGTGTAACGGTTTTCAAAAGCACTGAATTCTGAACGTCTGCAGCCTTTTCATGACAAAGTGCTTTAAGCACATGTTCATAAAATGATTTCTCCCAAAGAAATGCAAATCCTGACTAATGACACGCCTGAATGGGGAAAAAGCTCCAGCGGCAGCAAGACCACAGACGCCTGGTGTGCCCTATTGTGGCTGCAACAATACGCCACTCGTAATCTATCAATTTTCACAGGACTGAAGATCAATTTTTCTGATGTTTTAAAAGGTAGCATGATAAATAATGACACGGCTGCGAGACGATCAGGCGTGTGCCGTGAATGTGTTCGTCTTCCCCCGATCAAACAACTATATTGTTATGCTAACAAGAAGTGGAGACTGGATTCATGTTTGACAGTAAGGAACGATCCGACATTCACTTTTATTTGAATACACAAGGAAATCAGCCAGCATGCGACTCTGAAAGCGCTTTTTAACCGGCTCTGCATGATAAATAGAAACTCACCCTGTACGGCCCAAAAAGCCTCTTCTTCACCTCTAACCGGTAAGCCTTCACTTGGTCTTCATCACTCATGTCTGTTGCTCTCAGGCGCAGGATTTCATACACCCGTCTTGCATGTTTCTGCAGAGAAAAACTCAAGTTAAAGCTTCAAAAGCACAGCAGCGACAGAAAATGCTCGAACTGCAGCAACAAAAGCGAGTACATTAAAAATAAAAGCTGACAAATATTATTACAGACAAATTTAGAAAAAAAAGCATTTTTTAATGCAGCACCTTGTTAATTTTCAGCTTTTCTTGTGCCTCTTTGATCATGTCAGCCGAGAAGCCGAGGGGCAACTTGTCTGCGGCGAAGGACGGCAGGTTTTGGCACAGCTTGGACAGGACGTAGTCCCTCAACTTCACGTAGTTCTCTGATGGGTCTTCAGCTGCAAACAGAAAACACAACACAATTTATACGAGTCAGCAATGTCCACAAGCAGGTTGATAACTTTGCATATCGGGCAGAAATGATTGGTGGACAATTACCAACACCAATATCGGTATCAGCCGATGATCTTTGAACATACTGGTATCGGTCTAATAACTAAACCTGGGCTGATATTAGCAATCGCTGTCAAATTCCATCTAAGTGCTGTTTTTGTATCTGGGATCGGGGGGGGGGGGGGGGGGGGGGGTAGTCACATAGAAGAAGAAGAAGAAGAAGAAGAAGAAGAAATCATTTCTATAGCGCCTCTCAAGAAAAAAATCACGAGGCGCTTCACAAAAACTAAAAATGTAAAAATATAAAAAAGCATTTAGAAAATGTTTTAAAATATATTTAAATTGTGCAAAAATAGACAATTGGGATAAAAAAGTTAAGAAAGAGAGAGATAATTGGAAAGAGGGAAATCAGTGGATCCTGAGGAAGGTGGAATAGGTGGGGAGAGCAGAATAAAGAGAGAGAGTGATGAAGAAGGTCATACAAAAGCCAGCTTGAACAAGTGAGTCTTCAGTTGCTTTTTAAAGGAGACCACTGAGTCCACTGATCTCAGGCTCAGGGGGAGAGAGTTCCAGAGTCTGGGGACTACAGCAGCAAATGATCTGTCACCTTTGGTCTTTAGCCTGGTGCGCTGCACAACCAGTAGGCTTTGATCACTGGACCTCAGGGACCTGCTGGGAGTGTAGGGACTAAGAAGATCACCAATGTAAGATGGTGCTTGTCCATGTAAGGCCCTATAGACCAGAACCAGGATCTTGAAATGAACCCTGAAGTTGACTGGCAGGGTAACACTGACATATAAACTATATGCACAATGTTATTTCTTTATAATAATTTTTTTTAAATCCAGGATAAAAATCTAAAAAAGAAAAATAACCTCTAGAGTTTCAAAAGGTTTAAGAAGGTTATTACAGTTAGGCTAAGTCTTGATGATTTGACTAAACAATAATTATTAGACATTGCTGCACAAACATAAGTTAGACCGGACCCTTTGGGTTAGATTTTCATTAGGCATGATTAATACAAGCTATATTAGCAGCAACATGTTAAACAAAAGTCTAAGTAACACCTTCATATTACAAAAAAGCATTTTATGCACCATTTATTGTACAAATAAGAAATTCTAATCACCAAAAAGGTCTCATTTATTCACAGGATTTTATTCTTAAACTCTTCTTAATGTCCAAGAGGTCAAAGACGAGTAGGCACTGATAACCAGCTTACAGTCTACAAAAATCCTTTAAACTGCTACAGAGAGATGGTGCCATGTTTACAAATAATGGATTTCTCACCTGTGATGTCTTGCACTTTGGGCAGGCTGCAGTAAAACCTGTGTATCGCCTCCAGAAGCTGAGAGCCATGACCTTCTCCTTGGAAAGGAGGCAGGATCAGCATTTGGCTGTTTAATTAAAAAGGAAGACACGCATGCAGATGAGGGGAAAGCAGCGTGTTCAAGAGTGTAACACACATTTCAATGATGTAAGTTGTTGTTATTAGTAGGAGCAGAGAAAGTCTTGATTGAAAGCAGCAAATAATAGACCGCCGCACCGATTCATCCATGCAACGAATCAAATCACATCAAAGGCTTATCTATACAGTTGTTTTCAGATACAAATCAGCCCGGTTTGGTTCTGAAACAAAATCTGCTTCAATGGTTGGCTATATAAGCCAGTAATTTGGGCTTTTGGGGGGAAAAGGGATAAAGAAATGTATAATTTTCCACTCCTTTTCTTATACAAAAGAATGGGAAGGCACGTGCTGCCCCAGCAATTACCTTACACGTGGTCTGGTTTTGTCTGGGTACACGTAGTAATTATAAACGGTCATGTAGCCAACAGTTGCGTAGAGAGTCTCCCCGTCTTTATTGTACTTTTCAAATCTGCAGATGAAACACAAAGGCAAACAGGTCAATTACAGGCACACTCCCATGCAGTGTCCGTTTTAGCTTCTCTGTTCTCGTGCCCCCCTCGTCAGGAGCAGCCAGGGCCCGATTGGTACACCTGCTACAACATGAATACATTATGCACTTAATTGGAGTACTGCAACTTAGAGGAAGAGAAGGGCTTGGAGGAGGGTTTGAGCTCCTCAACATCACTTCAGTCCATTTTGCCTATTGTGACTATTAATAAGTGCCAGGGTAAAGAAAACACTGGCAGAGGCTCTTTTTACTGTTAGGACATTGTTCAGTGTTTCAAAAGACAACAGTATTCAATTCAACTCTTGCCCCAGAAAAATCTGAAAGGGGCTCTGGGCACAAAGAAAGCTCTTGCCTGATCAACAATTCTCCTACATGGGGAAATATAATCAAACCGGCCTGGTAATTGGTCACAAGCGCCTCAAAGGGGGGCTTTGTTTTTCAATGACACAATAAAAGGCTTTAAGGGTAAAGCTGGGGGGTTAGTGTCAATTAAGGAGGCTACTCACACGAGAAAGTAGTCCCAACGATCGTCGTCTGTGTCGATGAAGCTGGCGGTCTCGATGAACCACATGAGGAAGGTCTGCAGGCGCTCGTGGTACTCTTGGAATCCAGGGCAGGTGATGTCAGCCTGGGCCCAGTTTAATAAAACCGTTTACGTCTTCCTCTGATGAGTTGGTGAGATTATGAGCGTGGTTTGCGCGTACCTTGTGAATCTGGTAGGTGAGTTCTCCGGCCTCCTCATTGTGGATCGTGTACGAGTGAAGCAGGGTGCCGAAGGGCTTGAACTTGGCCTCCTTCTCCAACAGCGAGATGAAGTCATCCGTGCTGGAGGTGAAACCAGCTGGGATTATTTCCCGGATTTTCCCTCCGACATCATCCGGCTGGATGAAAACAATAAAGCTGGACTCATTAACTTGAAAACACCAGCAGGAAATTTTAGTCTTTCTGTTTTTTGTTTGGCCAAAGCGGCAAAAAAAAACTCAAAGCACACGTTTTTAGAGACGCTGAAAAGAAAACCATTAGGCAATTAAAACTGTCAGCTGAGCAAAGTCCTCGGCACCTCCCCACCCCGACAAGGCCACTTAAATCTGTACATTTACCACTTAGATTGAACCATGAATATGTGATGAAGTTGCCTCAATAAACACATTTCTGCTTCTCACTGAGAAGAAAAAAAAATCTTATGAATTGATTTCAGCTTAACAAACCTTTGGGCATCCATAATAAGAGGCCTCTCCTCTAATCCTGCCAAGTGAACCCAATCAAATGAATCTGGCCCCCGCGTTTTTCAAAGGGCCTCGGAGACAAAGGGGCCCTTCCCCTGGACTTTTTACTCGGTAGAACGTGTGGTTAGTTCAGCTGTAATGTTTGCATTGTATCCATTTCCACAAGGATTGACATGAGAACACTTTGCTAAGCAGCCCTTTCACACCATTTACATGTGTGATGGGCATTATGGGAGCACAGAGACCCTCACTGCTCCGCATTGAAAACTGGGAAATGAAGAAGGTCTGAGCAAAATGCACTACAAAAGGCTAATACAACATACTGCTAATTCCCCCCTTTCAGACATCAGCTAATATCTAACTGGAAGTAATGCACCTGCAGCTGAATGCCTCTTAACTATTGTAATTGTTCAGCCACATTTCTGGAGAACAAGGACCACACTTAAAAGGCCATGGACAAACAAGTCGCTTTGTCCCAACCACTCTCCTGCATACTAGATGCTGAATTGCATGGCCTTCCAGAATGGATGCTTCACTTTGCCGTGAATATAACTCAACAATGCTCCTTGGCAGCAGTCAGTTGATGTCTTTGATTTTCCAACAATAAGCATAAACTATCTAATTAGTTGTTAGTTGTCTAATTTGTGTTTTTTTTAACTCTTCAATCAACTATAAGGGCCGTCTTAGAGCTTGTAAGTTTAAACTCTTCAGGTTAAATCTGTGCAAAAATGATGAATTAAACTACAAGTTTGTAGCTCAAACAAACTAAAAACAATCAACTAATTGGGTTTTCTGGAAAACGTCCAGCATTGTGGTGTTTTTGCCCAATTTAAAGAGGAGAAGGTGAGTTCTGGTCGCCGTCGTGCATGAATGTAGCAGCTGCATCAACTCCAGCTCGGCCTCCCGTCATCCCTTCGCCAGCTGCACCGCACCACGACCGTCCACACGCACTCAGAGACAAACGCTCTTCAGACGAAGCCCGAACTGTGCCGCTCTGCCTGCCCGACAGCTGCACTCAAACCCTTAACAAGGTGAACCCACACTCATGGGGTCAACGGTCAACTCTGAGCAGTGGTGCACACTGACACTGCGTTTCGGGTTCATTGTTGGCTCTAAGCTGTGCTGCCCAAAGAAGAGGAGCGGCTCTTTTCATGTTTAATAAAGTGCTGTTTGTTGATGTATTTATGTCCTTTTTCTAAATCTAATTAAGGGACATTTAGAAAAATAATTCAGTATAATAGTCGTAAATATCTTATTCGCTGTAGATTTGCTTCCAGACACCGTTTGTTTGGCTAATTTGTGTTTACATCCAGCAGAATTATGAGCTTATTTGAGAGCAAAATTTCAAGCCAAAAAACTGTTTTGTTTCTTCAACACCAAAAACTGACAAGTTGAAGAAAAAAAGAGATTTCTTTGCACCAAGTGAAGTGCCAGAGCTCGTGTAGACACAGGCCATCCACCATATTTACAACCTGTCACACAGACACTCTTATGCTGGGCGAGTGGACAAATTAATCGACCGTCAACGATGGACTGGGTCCTTTGCTGAACTTTTTTTTAAGAGCATCATTTTATATGCCTATGTATTAGGTAGGGCTGCTCGATTATGGCAAAAATAATAATCACGATTGTTGTGACTGAAATTGAGATCTCGATTATTTAAGATGATTTTTCAATTTATGTTGATTTTATTTGTTTTTATTCAGTCATAAAACTGCTCAGGGCACAATCAGTCACTAAAATAACTCCTGATTCCCAGTATAAAAAGACCAATATACTTATAGCTCATAGTCTATGACCCAAGGGCTATAAACCTTGGTTTAACTCATTTAAGTCTAACCAGTACAGACCCAAATACCAATATCTTGCAAATACTGACAGCAAGAATTATACAGTGGCATTTATAACAAATACATGCAAATTGCTGTTCACTAAATGTTGCATAGCATTTATTTAGTCGTGTCAAGGTGCTGTAGGAGCGTGCACTAGCACCGTGTCCTCAGAGAGATTAGTTATCAGTGTGAGGAACTTATTTCTATCTATTTCTACCTTATTTATAAACTATTTATTTACAAGTCCATCAGTTAATGTAATAATTGTCCCAACCACAGCTGCACACACACACCCCAACCCAGTCTCACAGCAATCAGGAGCAACCTGCACGTGTGTTTAGCGCGCCGCACGCGCACATTTAGCAGTTTTTAGCGGCTCAGGAGCCCGCAGGTACGGAGTGTGTCACTCACTCTGGTTAACCCAACAGAGCCGACTCTGGGAGCCGTGTCTTTAGCGACTAACACATCACTACATCATTCCCTTTCCTAAAGTCCTGAAGAACGGTCCGGAGCGCAGGCGGATTGTTTAGCTAACCTGCAGGAAATGTCGATGACAGTTATCCAGAAAGTAGCTAAGGGTTACCAGAGATGTTTCTGACGTGTTCGCTAGGTACTTTTGAGATTTAAAATGTCAAGAAGGGGGTCTGAAAAGCTGTTGGAAATAGCGTCAAAGTCGATAAGTTGGCAACACTGTGGGAGGAGCGCTTCAATTGTAACTCAAGGCAGCGCAAGTGGGAGAAGCAAATAATCGGATTCTTTTGTTTGTATAATCGTTCAAAACTCAGATCGTAATTGTGATTAAAATTCGATTAATTGAGCAGCCCTAGTATTAGGCATAAAAAAATTGTATTTTCACAAAAGTGCAATTAATGTCCTCCAAGGAAATAGTCCACAACAAGTGTTACATCCACAATCCAACATATTTTACATCTGAAAAGATACAACATTTCCTCCAGATGCATCTCTTTCTCACCATAATCTCTGTTAACATCATCATATTAGCTTCAAACTTCTGATCAACATCTTACATGATGCAACAGGTGAAAGGTTACCCCACCTGCTAAGGCAAAATCGTCAGCTCAGCTATTGGCCAAAAGGTACAGAAGTACCACCCCATATTCTCACATCTAGCACAAACCATATGTGGTGCAGAACATTATTTATTCACGCATTCGATGAAATTCGGAAAACAACGACGTGGACCCTTCATGGTCTGCATCTGCAAACTGAGAAAGCCTGATTGTGATTGGTGGATTGTTTCCAACAGTGCATGTTCAGCCCACAAAATGTCTAAACATTTTCTGAGTGAATTTATCGCCGATTATCTTTTTTGGGGTGATGAATATCGCTTACATTTTTTTTAGATATTACCCAACCTTCAAGGACTCTTTTCTGCTTCTTTTTCCTTCATAAACTGGGACAAAACAAGTGTTTTCTTTCATTAATCAGACATTTGTTATATTAAAGGACCAAGAACTAGAGCCCACCGCGAGCCTAATGTTTAAATGTTGTTCCCATTAATTCTCTGATCATTACTGCCTGCTCTCAAAGTTGCATCTGAAATCACCCGAGTTCACTTGTGAGAACACCTTGTGAACACGTGTGTACATGCGCTTGTGTATATTAAGGTTTCTCCATAGGTGTGTTTATTAGTGAGTGTGAGCAGCCACAGACGAGGGTATATACAGCAATCCTTAAGTAAAATTTACTACTTTTTAATACTTTTTTTTACTACCTTCAGAATTTTTTTAAAACCATCACAACACTAAATTGCAAGTGTTAATCAGCGACCTATTTACACATATTTTAACATACGAAAAGAATAGACTTAGAGACTCACTGATGTTGACAACGTATTGCACATATTTATTTTACTTAGAAAATAAGCCAGGCACTTCTGTTCAGCGGTTCAGTTGACCACGAGGCCTGAAATGATGCAGAACGAAAACTGAATATGACGTCATCATTATGTGACCGGATATGCTAAAGTAGGGCTGCTCGATTATGGCAAAAACAATAATCACGATTATTGTGACTGAAATTGAGATCTCGATTATTTAAGACGATTTTTCAATTTATGTAGATTTTTATTTTATTTTTTTTATTCAGTCATAAAATTGCTCAGGGCGCAATCAGGACAAAAATAAATAAGAAACAAGATGATCACCAAAATAACTCCTGATTCCCAGTATAAAAAGACCAATATACTTATAGCTCATAGTCTAAGACCCAAGGGCTATAAACTTTGGTTTAACTCATTTAAGTCTAACCAGTACAGACCCAAATACCAATATCTTGCAAATACTGACAGCAAGAATTATACAGTGGCATTTATAACAAATACATGCAAATTGCTGTTCACTAAATGTTGCATAGCATTTATTGAGTCATGTCAAGGTGCTGTAGGAGAGTGCACTAGCACCATGTCCCCAGAGAGATTAGTTATTTATCAGCGTGAGGAACTTATTTCTACCTTATTTATAAACTATTTATTTACAAGTCCATCAGTTAATGTAATAATTGTCCCAACCACAGCTGCACCCCCCAACCCGGTCTCAGCAATCAGGGGCAAGCTGCACGTGTGTTTAGCGTGCCGCACGCGCACATTTAGCCGTTTTTATCGGCTCAGGAGTCCGCAGGTGCGGTGTATGTGTCACTCACTCTGGTTACTCCAACAGGGAGCCAGCTCTGAGAGCCTTTTCTTTAGCGACTGACACATCACTACATCATTCCCTTTCCTAATGTCCTGAAGAACGGTCCGGAGCGCAGGTGGAGTGTTTAGCTAACCTGCAGGAAATGTCGACGACAGTTATCCAGAAAGTA